CATTTTGGGTTTCCTCATGTCGGTTTCATCCTTCTAAGTGTTAGAAGTCGATACCGCACACGCGAAACTCCAAAAGAGGACGGAAATAGGTTGAACTAAAACGAGGCGGGCACCACTTCTAAGGTTCTAAGATAGTCGCAGGAAGACCCCTAAGGCTAGATCCTAACTCCTACGAGGAATACTAGACCTCACGAAAATTGAGGTCAACAACCACACCAAACTCTCTAAAATCTTTCTAGAACTCCTCTTAAAACTCTCCTAATTCCTCCCATGAGAGGTGTCAACCCCTCTATTTAAAGAGACACAAAAACCCCTCCTTTCTCCAAGAGACCCCTCCTTTCTCCAAGAGAGACACATCTCTTCATTTTTAGATGTCTAGATTCATTGCATGACTCATTGAGGCGTGCATGGTCACCTAGAACCTTCCAGAACAACCCGGAACCACCAAAAGTCGTCCAAAACTGTCTCCAATTGTTTCTGACGCCTAGGAGCCAGTTTCCGACGCCTAGGCGCCATTTTCTCGTCGTCACTGACACCTAGGTGCCACCCTGCAGGAATCTCCACCATTTCGCCATGTTTTGCTCTGTTTCAACTATGTTTCGCCCCGTTTCAGCTCCATTGCCCTCCAAATTGATATACCTACAAGATAGACATGAAAATAATATTTCTTTAAAATGTAATTTCATTTAAAAACATGTGATAAACGTAAAGGAGATTAAAAATAGAAAGACATCAAAATGTGTCAGGTCAGAATTTTCTTCCTTGCTCGATTTGACTCCAAATGACACTGTTTTTACTAAATTTTAACTAAAAGTCCATTTCTTGTACCTGAAGACAAAAATATGGAAAATATATTTTTTAAAAGTATAATATCATTAAAAATGTACATAAAATGATCATGAAATGTACACTAAAAACAAGTATCAAAAGGCACAATTTAGATTTATCAAAAAAAGTTTGAAATGGCTTGAACATAATATTTTTATTTGATTTATAAAAACAAGTGTACCGTTTTAGATAAAAGACTTGATATCATAGTATGTAAGTTCAACAAAACATTAATATAAAGCCATATGGCATAAAGAGTGTTGCTATGCGCTTAAGCCGGAACCATCGGCACATGTTTTCACTCAAACACAAAAAACAAGTATATATTGTGTTTACCTTTTATTTAAGTATTCAAAATATACTCCAGTGAAGCAAGGCTACAATTGTGATTTTTACTACAATATTGCATCTAGTTCCTTCCGCAACACTTGTTGTGGATCTGCTTATGGCCTCCTTTTGTGTGTGTGTGTGTGTGTGTGAGATACCACAGTCACTTTACTTTTTAGCAAGTTTTCTTTATTTTATGGTCCTTGCCTATTTCTCAAGTTTCCAATTACGTTATTTTCTATTAAGAGACCTTTACATAGATTGTATTCTAGTTTTTGGATTCTCAGTTAACTTTACCTATTTTGGGAGATATTTATGTGATTTCTGCTCTCCAGAGTGCTATAGTCTCTTCCTTTCGCAAGTAATGTGTCTATAGCTGGTCCAGAAAAAGAGGATAAAACCCCCTCGTTGATTCGTTGTTCGCCGGTTGTTATCAGCCTGACAGCTGTTGACGCCACTGCTACCTTCTGTCACAAAGAAAACTGCCCTTTTTCCACTTCCGGTTCGCTATCCCAACACTGTTAATGTCGATTTTCAGACTTCATCCACCCTCCCACTCACATAATCAGTCCTACAACTTCCCTAACATCTCTTACCTTCTATCACACCTTTTAGGAGTATTAGAACGATGCCATCTGATATCATAGCCAGCCAAAATCGCAGTTTGCGGTTGAAAGAACGAGATGCTATGCCACCAAGGAAAAACTCTCAAAGAGGTGCTCATAAAATTACCGTGGAGGACATGCAACGAGAAATCCTCCAATTGCAACTGAAGCGCTGATTTTGACATAATGCAGCATTGGGAAGTCTCCCACAATGCCGATGGGGAACACCCATATGAAGGAGATGAAGAAAACCCTTTTGACCAAAAAACTGAGAGGTTTTGTATTCCGTTTTATCGTCGACCACCTTTTTGATTAATGAAGTTATGCCTAACTCTCCTGTGGGGTTTTTCCTATTCATGAGTTTTTCCATGTGAAATTTGTCTTTTGATTGTGTGATCAATCTAACTTAACAACAATTGGTGTTATTTTTCTTCACAAGTGATATGAGAGCGCATGGTTTCTTCTTTCGCTTCGTTTATGCTCATCGCTTATAAGTTCAATCTAGTTCATCATCAATTTCATTTGTAAATCGCACTATTATCTCTTTCTTCTCGATGATGGCTGTGAAGTACGACATTGAGAAGTTAGAACAGTCTACTCATTTTACTTTGTGGCAAATCAAGATGAGAGATATCTTGGTTCAATTGGATCTAGAAAACACATTGTTTGGCATTGATCACATGCTAGCAAATTTGTCTGTTGCAATAAAAGTCGTTTGGTATGGAGGCTTATATAGAGAGTTCAATGGGGAGTCTATGAAGATGACTGTTTTTTGCGGTAGTCAAACAGCAAAAATCAGCACTTTAGAGAATCCTGCCGACATGATGACAAAGCTTCTTCCAGCAACTAAGTTCAACCATTACTTGTACTTGATTGATGTTCAATGCAAATGAGCTTAAGGGGCTTCGCGGAGAGGAATGAAACATGGAGCATCACTTTAACGTAATATGAAGGCAAGGTGGACTTTTGTAAAATAATATCATAAAATTTCTTGCCAATATATTTCTTTCCAAATATAGTTTTTGCTTAATATACTTTGCTATCAAATATATGTGATATTTGCTACCAAATATATTTCTAGCTTAATATATTTGATAGCAAATCTATTTCATAGCAAATATATTATTTTGCAATCATATAAATACTCATTGTATGTCATGGGTTGAGAGTGAGGATGTGAGAAATCTAGCAAGAAAATGAGAGATTTTGTATTCGGTTTTATTGCCGATCACCTTTTTGATTAGCGAAGTTATGCTCCGACCCCCACATGGGTTTTTCCACATAAATTCTTTGTCATAAATTCTTTGTCTTCTAGTTGCGTGATCGATCTTAGGCTTCTCAATTTGGAAGCTTTCCCTAATTTTGACTATTTTGATTAGTAGATGACACAAATTCACATCTAGTATTGCATAATTCTTGGAGCTAGCTTAGTCACATGAAAAAATGAAATAAATTGTAATTGTCATGTCTAGTGTGGAAATAGAATACAAATCCATGGCACACTCCATCTATGAGATGACATGGATTAAAAAAAACATTTAAAGTAACTTAATTTTTTTATTATATAATATAAGGTTTAATAAATTGATAACCATGGGGCCAGCTATATTGCTAATAATCCAGTATTCCATAAAGGAAATAAACACGTTGCGGCATTGGGGTGATGTGCTATCAAAAAAAAGTTTTATTCCTTATGTCTCTAGCATAGGTGAACCCTATTCAGTTTTCAAAAAAAGTGCAATTAGAAAAAGTTAATTAATATATGAGGACTTTACATACATACCACCCAAATCTTATGTATTAACTTATCTAACATCTAAACTTTATCTTTTACATTTATATCACTCAAATTTTTCATATCACATCAAAACACTACTATTTTCACTTTTAAAAAAAAAATACATCTTTTCGTGTACAGGTAAGGTGGCATATATGTAATGCTTGAAGTTCAGGTGTTAGATATGTAAATACATAAGAAATAAGTGGTATGTACGTAAATCTTCCTTAATATATATCCACAATCTCGAGGAGAAGTGTTATGTTATATCTAATATTAGAAAAGTTTTCAGCATAATTTTTTGCTAAATTGGTCCTTCGGAACATTGTAGTTTCGATCCTATTATAAATAAGATATACTCCTACTTAATAAACACAAATAAATCTCCTTTCCTCTTTAACATGATCCACATTCCCTGCAAAATGCTGGTTGTATTAGAATCATAAACCCTTGAGTGCCTTGCATCATGAAGAGGGTTGGATTTTGTCAGCTCAGAAGACAAGGCTCTCCTAATACACTTGAATACATCTTAACAGAAAATTTGTCACTAAAAATTCCGTAGAACCAAGTGTTCTGAAGCACTAGGGTTGAGACTTTCTGCAAAATGAATCCTGGTAATAAGGAGTTGTGCCGAAACTAACAAATCAAGCACGGTGCAAGGGTTGCAGAGGCTTCAAAACGTTAACGTGGTTCCATTACAATTAAACAATCAAATCTGCAAAAGCACAGGCTAAAAGACAGCTTTGGATTATTTTTAATAAGGACTCCAAAAAGAGATTATAAGAAACCATAGGCATAAAGAATATCTTAATTTCACAAGAAAGGTCTTGCAACACCTTTGAGATATCATTCAACCACTCTCCACCAACCAAAATAACGGCTTGTACACCTTGAGCTAGCCTCAATGCTCCCCTAGGCCCCGTGTTGACTGATGTTCGGACAATGTCTTCCACCAGCTTAGGCAAGTTATTAAAACCATCTGTAATAAGATAAAGACAAAAAAAAGCTTAAGAACTCAAAATGACTTCCATTGGTTCTGTTGAGAAAGTATAACTTCCAACCTATTTCAGTCAAAATTAATGAGTTACTGAAATGATCAGACCGTTAGTAAGGACATCAGTAGATGATAATTGATAAATAAACCAAATAAATGAATATATAAACTGAGGTACAAGATAAAGAGTTGGTACAAGTTAGAAACTGCTCTCTTCATCAATGAATTCATTAATACAATGAAATAAAATACGTCACTGGATTAGAAAAGCTACAGTTCACCAAAATATTACGATTTATTTAAAATTCAAATCAACAAATATAATATCAAAATCCTGAGTCTGCTCATAACATAGTGGCCAACCAAATACACCTGATTGACATTTAAGGTTTTGTAATTCGAACCTGATTATTTTCTTTACTTTTCTTTCTGAAAGTTTGCTTTAAACTTTATGCCTAAGAATATTCCAAAGTATTTGGAATCTAGATACTCTATCTGATGAACATATGGGATGTTTTTACATACCATGACATCCAATATATTTCCATGTTTATCTTATCTTAGCCAAAACCTGCTTTGTGATTTGGACTTGTATTCCGCACTTGCGAGGTGTAAATGCAGTCTCCAAGAAAGTGCAAAATTGGCATGCAACACAAACTTGTTTCTTCAGATTTATTTGTTAATTTATTATGGGATTAATATTTACGCTACAACAATGTCATGTGATCATCTTTTACAACTGGTTTCATATTATTTTGCATGTATTGCGTGTTAATTATTTTAGTAAAGAGGTTAGGTAGAATTAATGAAGAGAAGGGATTAAATAAAAAATAATGCTGCCAATAGCCTATCATGACCATTGCATAATCATCATGAGTCCTATAAAAAATTGGATTCAGCTTTATGAATGTCCGTTCTCTAATCAATCATGTTAAGTACTACACAGGGCAAGGCGAAAAATTTTTGTGCATCTACCAGAGTTAACATCACATATATTACTTAATAAATGGGAAGGACTCATTAAACGAACCCTAAGTAATTAACATAATCATAATGACGATTACTGCTAATTAATTTGTTTAACTTTGTTAGTTATATGATTAATTTTTCCCATACTAAGATGATCACAAAGCACATCTAAACTACATATAACAGAGATACAAGTAGGAATCGCTCACTCAACAACAATTAAAACTTTCCTCCCTGCTTTGAAGTTAAAAAATAAATTAAAAAACAAAACATTTCTTACATTGCCTTAGATTGGACATTTCAAATTGGTAAAAACATGATTTAGGGAAGAGGAAGAAAATGTGAAAGAAACACAGCGAGCAAGCCACAAGCAACACCCACAGATACAGTAAGATGAAGCAAACAAGATTTGATCAAAATCTAGATAAAATTCCTGGGGAAAGTACTAGGTGGCAGATATGTTTTACTTCATAGTAATTGGATTCTCAAATTATTTTTTGGGAAAAAGAAGTTTCTGATTTAACACATTTGCATCAATATCTGCAAGCCTAAACCTTTCTCATACATTCATTCTATCAATTACTTGTAAAGAGAGCTGCCACAAAGTTTATATACAACCGACTCAACCCTGATAAAGCTAGTAAAAACTAATAATTAAAACAACAAAACAAATATAAAGTATAACCGAAACTGCAACTCAAGAAAAAAAAATCTAAGGGCTTGTTTGGGATCACTTTTGTCTTTTGTCTTTGTTTTTTGTTTTTATATCAAAAAAACATGTTTTATTTAAAGAAAAAGCATAAACTAAACAAAATAAAAATAAAAAACAAAAATCAAAAGTGGTCCCAAATGGCCCCTAGGTTTACCATATTGCTATAATTTGTTATTGCCATAGCAGTTGTCAAAGTGCTATGCTACAGCAATTTTAGATAATCAATAAAAAGTTACATAAAAATTTCACATGAACTTCAAACTGCTTTTAGAGCATGAATACGATGCATTTTAACAATCTTCGTGCTTTTAAAAACTTGAATACTCTCAAATAAACAGAGAGACATTGAGGTGTATGATACGAATTGGAGGAGTTTTTCAAAATAATTAGGGCAACCAAAGCTTTTATTTCACCAACACCAAACAAAAAAACTCAAATACATAAAGATAAGCACCTACAATTCGAGAGAAAGACGATCTCTCCCAAACCCTAACAGTAAGACTAGTGACAATAATCTCATCATCCCTCCTAACCCCAAGCAAAAAAAACCCTATTTATACCCATAATAATAACTAATAGAATGACTATATTGCCCTTAGGTTTTGGTATAACCCGACTCTTCTCCCAAAAAGGCACATTTCCCTCAAGGTGGGAAAAAAAGAAATTGTTGTTGGATCAAGTCGTTTGGCTCCCCCACATGGCATCCTCATCTGACAATTATTTTCATTTAAGCAGAAATTAGTAGTGGCCCTCATAAGTTTGAAATGTTATCTTGTGCACATCTTTTGACCGCATCCAAACAAGTTGGTACCCTGACTTTAAGTCAATCTTTGAAGATACTGCAGCCCCACATAACTCATTTAGTAGCTCATCAGTCACCAGGATGAAAAATTTTTCAGGTACTATTTCTTTACTTACTGTCTGATAATCCCCATAGAAACACCAACTTCCATCCTTCTTCTTCACTAACGAGACTGGACAAGAGAACGAGCTCACACTAGGTTGTATGATCCCAGCCAACAACATCTCTGGGATCCATATCTCAATCTCATCCTTTTGTACCAGGGGATAGTGGTATAAGCGTACACTCCTGGAAGACCCCTGGTCTCAAGATTATTACATGCTCGAGTCCGCTCCCAGTTACTTTGCTCAACCACAGCTCCAGGTCCTCCTAAGGCAACGATGATGCCCTGATGTCGTGCAAAACCTTCCTATTACCAGGTCCACCAAAATAAGCGACATTGCCATGATGTTGCGTGAATCATTATAATTGTTGCACCGCGCTTCCTCTTCAAGCGATGTCGCTCGATCCCATGGTAGTTGTAGTGGATTTGTGTAAAATTCCATGATTTTCATCATTTATTTCAGGACCATAAATCTTTCTTTTATGGACGAGAATTGCCCCTCTAGGGACGAGAAATGCTCCTCCATTTCAGATCTAATTTAGTTCATCTCTTTCTCAAATTTATTCTCCAAATCATCCACTATTTTGGTTGTCACAACTCTCAGGATGGTTTTCAATCACAAAGGTAGGCTCTCTATATTGCAATCCCATCATTGGCTTCCCCGATAGCTCAATTCTTGATTGTATCGAGAGGTTTGGTCATGAAGGAGACGTCGCGATATAGAGGGAGACATAATGTCATTGATGGCATCCCAATTACCTCAAATCGTGATTGTATCGAGAGCTATAGTCAAAGCAGGATTCTTGCACGTGGTTTTGGCACAAAACTCTTGGATGCCATGATATTCTTTCATTGGTTTCTCCACTAGCTCGCGATTGTTTCACGAGGTTCGAGAACGCATTTGACAATGATGGAGACGTCTGTATTTCGTGATTCTTTCGACTACCCAGCTAGCTCCAATCGCGACAATTTCAACGAGCAAAGGAGACATGATCCCTTTGGCTTCCCAGATAAATCGCTATGATCGGTCATTATTCGGTCACGATGGTAACCCACGATCTCGTCTTTGACTTACTGCTTCCCAAGATAGATGCTTTAATAACAATTTGATAAAAATGGAAGGAGTATTTCACATAAATTAAGGCAACCAAATATTTTATTTCACCAACACTAAGCAACACAACTCAAATACATAAAGATAAGCACTTAAAATTACAGACGTAGGCGATCTCTCCCAAACCCTAACCCTAAGAGTCGAGAACAATCTCATCATCCCTCCTAACCCTAAGCATAATAAGTCATATTTATACCTACAATAATAACTAATAAAATGACTAAATTGCCCTTAGGTGTCGGTCTACCAGTGTATTTTTAATCATGAATATAATAAATGAGCAGAGTCATCACACAAATTTTATTTAGAATTTCAAAAAACAAGTAATATTATTAAGCAAATAAAGAAAAATCATAACCATAAATATTTTTAATATCTTATATTCACCGGCTTTCTTTCTGTCTAGCTGACGTGTGCACATACTTCCGTATTCATTTTATCCAAACGTCGGTAAAATAACTTATTTTTTCATAAGCATCGGGACAGCTTGATGCTTATTATTTTACTTGTAGATATACATATGTACATGCTTGTTATTTTTGTGCTGAAAAAAAATAGAAGCATGTAAATGAACGTTGATCTTTTGTTCCGGTTGATTACCTGCAAATGAATTGAGTCAATACTAATTGAAGTTTATAGACTATAGAAAAAAAATTCATACTAAAATATAGAATAAATCAGTAAATATGCAGTTAATTCGCTATTAAATGAGCAATTTATCAATCATTTAGCAAGCTACTGTTAAACATTATACACGATCATATTCACTGATATAAATGAATGAGTAGTCAATATTCAAGTTTCTTCACTTGTATGTCAAACTTTAAATATGTTATTCAAATATGTCTAATTATCCAAATATTGAGCCTTATATTAATGTTGTCGAGCAGAGGAGATGTCGCGACCCGGCCTGAGGCTTGGAATTAACCAAGACAGGAACAGACGATTGGGCAGTAAGAATTAAATTTTCTATTTTTGTCTAGAATTTAACAAGTGAAAGAGTCGCCAATCAATTTAAATTAAAACAATATATTTAAAATTACCTCATTACTTCCTGTCGGCATCATCTATAAATGTTTTCTCTTTTATCATTCATTTTATAGTCACTTAAAATTTATCTGAAAAGTTAGTTTAAAAATAACGGTGAGCTAGACAAGCCAGTGAATACTCATACCCCTCAACTACAACAATACAATGGAAAAAAAAAAACAATATGCATGTTAGTTAAACTTTTTAAAAAATCAATACAAATATTTGATGTTATTCAAGAGTCTTACTAAATCAA